ATTATGCGAAATAAATCCAGATATGTTCTTCTTTAAGCCACCCTGCAAGGAAAAATATTTGAAAAACGAGGTCCAGGAAGAAAAAGAACATTTTGGTTAAAGAACCTCAGAATCTGGTTTAATACAACATCTGTGCAGCTTTTCTGCGCTGCTGCAGATAAGATAAAGATTGCCATGATGATCGCCAACATTCGTAACGGATAGGCACATCAAGAAGAAGAAGAAGAGGAATTTTGAAGAAAGTATTGAGGTACGAATAAATAAACGACACACAAGGTTGCCTGAAGAAGTAAGATTTATGTCTTTAAACCACTATCCAATACAAGAAGGAGGTATGCCTAATGTCCTACAACAGCACAGCAAATCTGAACTAAATGGAGTTTATGCCATTTATATTTATACCATTTATGCCTAAACAAAACAAAATATTGTTTCCAACAATACTATAAAAAATTATGTTTTTTTTATCTGAAAATAAAGATTTTAAAACAATATTTATCATTTCTAATACACAAAGATAAAAATTTGGTGCTGCACAGTGGTACAACTGTTGTACCACCCTCTATATGTCAAAGTAACAGCGAAAACCAAATTGGTAGTGAGTAAATAAGCAGTTTTCTTCTAGGACAAAACTTAATTTCTTTATTTTTAGTTTTTCAAGAATTTTAGCAAGCATTGGTAATAAACTAATGGGTTTATATAAAGTTACGGATTCTAAAGGTTTGCCATTTTATGGATTGAAATATCTTGGGCGACTTTCCATTGTGAAGGAAAATATCCTAACTTTAATACCGCGTTTAAGATTTGTGTTAATAAGAGGATTGAATTTTTGAGGTAATTGACATAAGACGAATCCAGTAATCAGATCATAACCTGGAACTTTCTTTTTATTAGTATTAAGTATTGCCTCAATAATTATGGTTTTTCTAAATTGTTTAATAAGCAGAGACATCTCGTCTAGGCAGTTTAGATATCTATGAATATTTTCCTCTATCTCTGGTTGTATTTTTTTGTGTGTTTTGACTTGGACTTTTAACATTTTGAAAACGAAATATATGGTCATTAGCAGAAACCCTCCAGAAAACCCGATATTATGCATAGGTGACAATCGTATAAATCGCGTGAAAACTTTTAAATACCTTGGCACCACAATCAATGACCACTCGGATCCACAACACGAGATAAAAACCCGAATACAAATGGCAAGACAAGCTTTTGTGAAATTCAGACCGCTCCTATGTAATCAACACTTAAACTTCGAAATACGCTACAGAATGGTCAAGTGCTACATATGGTCCATCTTGCTTTATGGCATGGAAACGTGGACTTTGAAAAAAACATCTATCAACAAACTTGAAGCATTTGAAATGTGGTCATTGAGAAGAATGATGCGCATACCTTGAGTGGATAGAGTTCGAAACGATGACGTCCTTAACAGAGCCGGCGTGGAAAGAGAACTCTTTGAATTAATTAAAAAACGCAAGATTGGTTACCTTGGGCACACATTGAGAGGAGCAAAATATGAAATACCACAGTTAATCCTACAAGGGAAGATCGAAGGTAGGAGAGGAGCCGGCCGCAAACAATTGTCCTGGTTAAGGAATATTAAAGAATGGACAGGAATACACAATACAGGTGAGCTGTGTCACGCCGCCAAGAACAGAATTCTAGTAATGAGATAGTCGCCTACGCACTTTGGTGTATGGCATGTTAAGAAGAAGAAGACTTGGACAATTGTCATTCATTGTGTGACAGTGTGTGTATGTGCGTGTGTGTGTGTAGAGTATTGTCTTGATACTTAGCAAAGTCGACGTCATTGTCTTTGCTAAGAGAGGCTAATTGTATCCGAACGTCTGCGGTCCTTCCGGTGAGTACCGATCGCAGAAGGATAGAAATTATTTTCATTCATTAATTTTTTTAATAAACGAAAATTTCTCCACCCAGGTGAGATTCGAACTCACAACCTTTAGGTTTAAAGGTAGGCGCTCTTACTCACAGGGAAATGAAGTAAAGGTAGTTTTCAACTGTTCGAGAAATATCCTAGATTGTTCGATGATATATTGATGATATATTGTTCGTCATCAGTGTGTGCCCAATGTTTGTTACTCGTTTTGATAGGTGGTATATGTTTTTGTGGCCATAACAATTTTCTCGTAGCCTTTCAAAAGATATAACATGTGGCTTCTAATGGCGATAAATCTCTCAAATATTTTGCGGTTGTGTATTTTTTAGATCACAGCATTTTTTCAGGTCTTTTGCTGCTTTGTTAAATGTAGTTTTAATGGTCGGTATATAATAGGTTTATTATAGGTTTATTATTGATTGGTGATTGGTGAAAGACAAGGTGAGAAATATTGGCGAGTGATCGGATATTAAGTTAAAGCCCGACTTAATTGTTGGGCGATTATCTGCTATACCTTTGGTTATACAGAAATAAAGAAGATCTGGGAGTTTTCTTGTGTCTGTTGGCCACTATGTAGCTTTACTTGTAGAACAACTTTAGATGTTATTATTATTAATTGCCTAAAGTAGTTGTATACCACGTGGGTGTATTAATCTAAAGCCCCAATCTTCAAAAATAACATTGTGGGTGACAGCAGGAGAAAGAATGTACCCACAATGTAGCTTCTACAAAAAGCAATTATAAAAAAAATTTACTGCTGGTTTTTAATTAAAACATTCATCAAAGTACTGAATAGCCTACATTTTTGACAAAGTAAGTCTAAAACGTTATATATACTTTTTATCGACCATTAGCTTTCAAGTTTTTTCGAACTTAATTATCCTACCTTCACTTGAAAAAACATTTTTTGGCTTATTTCACATGCCACTGAAGATGCTCTGAAAGCTAAAGTACTTGGGCAAGATATAATAAAAAAGTGTACTCGATGTCTGCTTTTTTAATGCAGTCTGCCCTGATTTAATTAAAGTTCATATATTCGAGCATTCAACTATATATCACTTAGTATTGGTCTGCTATTTTCTTGTGGCATTTTAAAATAATTGCTATTTAATTGGGAATAAGCCACAATTTAAGAATAAAATACGTTTATTGACATTTCAATTTCGGAAATCGTTCGTATGTTTGTTTACTGTTTGTATTGTGAGAACGACTTCCGAAGTGGAAATTGAAACGTCAGTAAACTTATTTTAACATTTAATTGTGATTTATTCCCATTTATTTAGCAATTATATATTACTTAATTATTATTGTTTTTCTGGGTTTTTTTAAGCTTTGTTTATAAAATTGAACAATTTTCAGTGAAAATAAAGCATATTTCTATTCTAGTATGATACCTTTTTAAGTAGATAATATATTGTCCTTAATAATAAAAGCTCTCGTTTAGCTGAAGCTTATTATAAAGCAGTACATTATAAATTTGAATTCAATTACGTTTTTTACATTTATGAAGATGTTTCATTCTTTAACACAGCGTTTCCCAAACTGTGCTCCGCGGAGTACTGAGTACTTCTCGAAGTATCTATAGGTGCTCGCTATATGGCGATAATAAACAGTTAAACATTAGAAAAAAAGCTCAGCTATATCAATGGCTGAAAGCAACAGTGAGGTATCATGTAAAATTAAAATTAAAAGATAATGATAATTAAAGTGTGCAGTAGTATTAAAAATCAAAAATAGGTGACCAAAAACTTACTTTTATTGGATATTAATCTATTATAATCTAGTCAAGAAATGCAGCAGTAGCCAGTGTATCCTCCATCGCCATAGCCTCGCTGTGAAAAAAGTGTCGCCTTCCTTAAAAGTACTCTTGAACGAAACCATAAAGATAATTAATTTTATCAAATTACGAACACTGCATACAAGGCTGTTTAGAGTCGTGTAGGATGACATGGGCAGTATACGATGTCATTACTTTTTTATACGAAAGTAAGATGGCTTTCTCGCGAACAATTTTAGCTGAGCTCATTGAAATGACAGCTGAAGTTAGCACCTTTCTAGTTGAAACCAATTTTGCCTTGGGTGGTCGATTGTGTAACGAGCATTGGTTAATTAAATTGGAATATTTAACAGATATTTTAAAAAGGTGAGTGAAGTTAGTCTCTCACTTCAGCCAAAGACAATAACTGTCTTTAATGTCAATGATAGAATACAAGTGTATAGGAAAAAATTAATTTTTTTGTGCAGAATCGGTGAAAAACAAAAATCTGAATAGCTTTCCACTAATCATAGAATTTGGAAAAAGGAACTGGAATCAGACATACCTGAAGCTATCTTTAACGAATTCTATACTCACTTGCTAAATTTACTTGAAAACTTCCATAATAGTTTTCCTGACAATTTCCACGAAAAAATTTAAGAAAACGCCTGGGTTGCTGATCCATTCTTTGCAATGTTAAAAAAAACAGCTTCCTTAACATCTCAGCAGTATGAATGTCTGATAGATTTAATATCGGATTCTGCGATAAAAAAAACCATTTTAAAAGTAAATCGCTAATAGATTTTTGGTGTCAACTCAAAGACGAATTTAAAATTTTGTCAGATAAAACGAAAATTATTCTTCTCCCATTTGTCACAACATACTTATTTAAAGCAGTATTCTCTGCCTATGTGGCCACTAAAACAAAATATAGATCTCGACTGAATTCGGAACCTGAGATTCGATCGCAGCTATCCCAAATTGAACCAGATATTACTAGCCAGCAAATCAAGTCATATTCTTCACATTAAAATGAAGACATGACGTTTTTAAGATTTTAGAAATAGGATCTCTGTGTTCATTTTATTTTTGTTTTTCTTTATATGTAATTAAGTTTCTTATGTCTGCGATTGAAAATAAATTGAATAAAGTGAATTTTAAAAGACATTATCCAAATTCAAAGAAACTAATCTACCCTTTTAAATAACGCCAATGGCTATTTATTTAAGTACCGCCAATGGTTAATTATTATTTATAACAATCAGAAATACGTGGACTCCCAAAAATTACTAGTTTTTACTGTTAACGTCAGATAAGCTTATACCTATGGTCGATTTCTTATTTGAGAATCAGTTAATGAACCTTTTAGTCACCGGTACTCTAATTTTTTCCTCATTTAATATCATTTAGTTCAAATTGGTATATAAATCGAAATATAAATACCTTATAGATATTTTACTCCAGAGTTATCTGTTCATCATTTAGTAACCATCATGAAGACTTTGGTATGTATAAAGAAGCTTAAATGTTATTAAAAATACTTAAAATTAAATATTTTTAATATTTATTGTGTTTTATCGAATACAACACGGCATTATACCAAATTTAAATTTTTTTGTAAGCAATATAAATCTGTAACATCTTATTTTTGGTTTTTAAGCATTCTGTTATGTTTCTAGATAGCTATCATAAGTTTTTTTTTTTAAGTCAGATTCAATTATATGCCAGTACTAATAATTTTTTTCTTAGTTTTGATCAAACACTTACGATTTAAATAATGGCTTTATGGTTTTTTCCTATTTTATTTTTGTTTTTTTTTTTCTTTTCGCCAATAAATCGGTTCACATTTGTAGTCAGATATTTGCCATTTTTAAATGGCAAATATCTGAGCTAAAACTGTTCACTTGTGTATATGTATTTACATAATCGTAAATACAAGTTAGTTGTTTGGCTTTTTCATTTTAATAACCATTTCCTTAATGAATTTAAAGTTTGTCGTAATAATCTTTAAATGCATATTTTTCATCAATGTGAATGGTTTTAAAAATTGGTAAATGACGTATGAATTCCCAATACAGAATTCGGAAGCCCATAATTTTTAATATACAGGACGGGAATTTGTCATTATTATTTATTCCGTGTATTTTTGTGTTTCTTTTTACGAATTTATTTGTTTTTTTTTATTATTCAAAATTGTAAGGTAACAAAAAGTATTGATTCTTTATTGATCGCTTAACGCACCAGAAACGTAAACGATATAATCATCATCATCATCATCATCATCATCATCATCATTCTGGCTTTATAACCTTGCGTGGGTCCTAGCCTCCTCAATAATTTCTCTCCAGTCGTCCCTATCTATCGCCTTTCTTTGCCAAGTACGTATTCCCATATTTCTCATGTCTTCATCTATATTATCAAGGAACCTTGTTCTAGGTCTTCCTCTTCTTCTCTGACCAATGGATCTACCAAGGAGCGTTTTTCTAGCCGGGTCATTTTGTTCCTTCCGCATTACATGTACTATCCACCTCAGACGTCCTATCTTAATATGTTTTACGATATCAGGTTCCTGGTATTTTCTATAAAGTTCGAAGTTGTATCGTCTTTTCCATATTCCATGGTCATTCAATGCTCCATAGATTCGCTTTAGTAGTTTTCTTTCGAAATATCCTAGGATGTTTTCATTATTTTTTGTTAGAGTCCAGGTCTCTAAATCCTATGTTAGGACTGTGCGTATTATTATTTTGTACAGTTTTATTTTTTGTATTTCTCGATATAATTGTGCATTTACGTAGGAGATTGAGCACAAAATAGCATCTGTTTATCTATCTATCTATCTATTGTCGTTTTCTTATAACTGGTGGTTGTAGGATTTATGGTTGTGTGCTTATTTTTATATACTTCGTTTTGTTGGTATTATTAAACTTACTTTTGTAGACTATTCTTTAAACATACATACGCCTCTTGTATAATATTTTCAGTTCTCCAACAATATTGATATCATCAGTATAGACCAGGATTTACACTTATTTACTTACTCCGTGGCGTTACAACCCTTCGTGGGTTTTAGCCGACTCGACAACATGCCTCCACTGTTTTCTGTCTTAAGCAACATCCATCCAATTCTCCACGCCCATAGTGCTTAGGTCTCCTGCTATATTATCTCGCCACCAGAGACGAGGTCGTCCGCGTGGTCTCCTTCCAGTTGGGACTTCCTCCCACACCAGTCTTACTGTTCGTTCGTCAGAATGTCTTCTGAGGTGTCCTGCCCATTGGAGTCTTCTGGACTTTATTTCTTTTATGATGTTGGCGTCTGGGTAAAGTTCTTCAAGCTCTTTATTAGTTCTTATCCTATATTGTCCTGATGCTTCATTAAGCACCGGACCAAAGATCTTCCTTAGGATTTTTCTTTCCCAAACACGTAGTCTCTCTTCATTTGCCTTTGTTATCGTCCACGTTTCGCTTCCATACATCACAACGGGTCGTATGATTGTTTTATAGACCTGTATCTTCGTACGTCGTGTTAGTTGTTTTGATTTTATAAGGTTTTGGAGGGCAAAAATACATTTGTTGCCGGCCTGAATCCTGTTGTTTATTTCTTGTGATCCGTTGTTGGGTTCAATTATTGTTGTTCCAAGATACTTGAATTCTCTTACGCGCTCAAAGTTAAAGTCATTGATGGTAATGTTCTGACCGATTCTGTCTCTGCTTTGGTTATTGCGGCTCATATACATATATTTCGTCTTGTTTTCGTTGATTTGGAGCCCTATCTTCTCTGCTTCCTTCTCAAACCTTACGAAAGTCTCCTTCATCCTTAATCGCGTGTTTCCTATTAGATCTATATCGTCTGTAAATGCCAGTAGTAAGTTTGGTCCTTCTAGATGAAATACTGTATTCGGTTTATCGATTCTTGCACTTCTGATTATGTGCTCCAGAGCTAAGTTGAAGAGTTGTGGTGAAAGTGCATCTCCCTGTTTTAGTCCATTGTTTATTTTAAATGTCTCCGAGTATTGTTGTCCAACTCTCACCTTACATCGTAACCGTTCCATACACATCCGTATCAACCGAACTAGTTTTTTTGGAAAGCCAAGTTCCTGCATCGCTGTCCACAGTCTGTCCCTACATACTCTATCAAACGCTTGTTTAAAATCTATGAACATCTGATGAAGCTCACGATCAAACTCCCAGCATTTTTCCATTATCTGTTTTATTGTGAATATCTGGTCAATTGTAGAGCGGCCCGGTCTAAATCCGCATTGATAATCTCCAACGATTTCTTCTGTGTATGTTTTGGTTCTTTCTAGCAGGATGTTTGCAAGGATTTTGTAGGTGGTGTTTAGGAGTGTTATTCCCCTGTAGTTAATACATTGCTTTTTGTTTCCTTTAGGATTTACACTGATTTATTATATATTGAACCAGTGGTTGTGATTTGTGACATACGTATTACTTTTTCCAGAGCCAGATTGAATAGTATATAGAAGAGATGGTCTGTTATTTCTTTTAAAAGATTCAGACAGTTTCTCCTGAATTCGTACTCTACATTTAACTTTTTTAAGAATTATTTTTCTCCAGGTGCCATCTCCGCTACGAAGGTTGACAATCATTATAGCTATTTTAATTTTTGAGGCAGTGGCTCTAAATAGTTGTTTTGAGCTGCATCCAAACCATTCTCTCAGGTTGTTAAGCTATGAAATTCGTCTTCTTCCGATGCTTCTTCTGCCATCTATCTTTTCTTGCATTGGGAGTCGCAGGATGCTTCAGGAAAGTTCAACTTTCTTCTCTTTACCTTCTCTTCTCAGTACTTCATTGTTAGTAAATCTATTTAATCAGGAAACCCTCATAATTCTTCTATAGTTCCACATTTCAAAGGCGTTAAGTTGTTTCATTGTGTCTAGATTTAACGTCCATGATTCTACTCCATAGTATAGTATACTGTATACGTAACATTTTGTTAGGCGTACTTTAAGAGCTAATGTTAAATCTTTGCCACATAGGATCTTTTTATTTTCATAAAATTAGAACGTGCTTTTTCGATTCTTTTATTGACTTTGATGTCTTAGTCATTATTTTCTGTCATAAGTGTTCCTAGGTAGATACTAGGTTTCTACTAACTTTCAAGAGTTAGTTTTCTTAAATTTACCATTTGATTTGGTATTCCTAGCTCTTTCATTGCTTTCAACATTTCTCTTCTATTCACAGTCGTAGGCTTCTTTGTATTCTTTGTTAACGATATAAACTTGTATGAAAAAAAATCTCTAAAATGTATTTTTATTTAATTTTATTATGACCTTTAAGTGCGTACAAACTGGCTAATTGGTCTTTACCAAAGCCATCTAATTAAGTAAAAAAAAAGTGCGTACAAACGTTGTTTTAAAGTTTCATCCTTTCTTAATTTTTAGAGTAGTTCTTTAATACGTGTGGTACCTATTATTGGCATACAAAAAATAACATTATAGATAATGTTATTTTTTTCAGCATAATTTATTTCGCATGTCTTTTACTGCGAAATTTTAGCAAATATATTATAATCTGATGAACTACGTGGTAGAAATTTTAATTTTTTTTCGGTCGTAGTTCCCATATTTTCTAATTTTCTTTATTTTTTATCACAGCAACATCATTAACTATCTTCTTTATATTCTTTTTTTAAGAGTGTTCTTTTTCCTGGCAGTGTTTCACTTTCGCTAACACCTTCACCAATGTTTTCTTTTTAAAAGAAAATAATTATGGATTAACCAAAAGTATTTTCTACGAAAACTTTTACTTACTTTATCTAATTTATTGACAAGCTTATTATTTAACTTATTAACTGTGATATATTTAATGATAAAAGGATTGTTTATGCCTTAAACTTATTTATAAATTATATTATTTTGTATAGTTTGCTTTTAATATGTTTAAAATCAATAAAACTAATAATTTTTTAATACCCTTATACATAACCTTAACATTTTTATTTAATTACAATGTAGATATATTTTTATTATAATTTACTCACCCTTATACGTTATTTCAACATAAATCCAAAATTTTTGTACTTCTTTTAGAGATTATTTTAATAATAAACAAACTTAGAAAAAAATACAGTCACGTTACTTTTAGCATGTATCAATCAACAAGTCAGTGGTTAGTAGGGTCAATAAGATTTAGGACAGAAACACCTCAGGAACCAAAGCAGTATATAGACACAGAGGACTTAAGTCGTTTTTATCCGACAAAACTACAAAAATAGCTGTCAGTAGAAGGGATTTAAGTTACATATATTCATTTGCTTAAAGAAAGATAGTGTAATCTAACTAATGTTCATTCAACCAGTCTTAATATTAACCTTGTATTTCAAGATCGACTTTACCAGAACGAACTTCTTCGCATTTACAACGAGATGTGTAGATAACTCATTTTGGCCAAAAATGACCTAAAGCCCTTTTGCCCCAACACTAGAGATATAAATATAATTAACTAAAACCATTATTCAAAAAATAGGTTAAAGTAAAAACTTTTCTCAAATTAATCGACAGATTTTTTTATTTTTTATGTTCAATATTACAATATTATTAACCGAATCCTACTTTTTGTACACATTCATCTTATAAACTTAGTTTTTTACTTCTTTAGAGTAATATATTACAATAGTATAATATAATACAGAAAATTTGAGTTATTTCAACACTGACTGCTCAGATATGCATCGGAGCATTTTCTAGAAAAAGTAATGGCTTTAACAAATAATGTGTTTCTTACATTTTGGTATGAATCATTTCATTAAGGATTAATGATAGTATAATGAATGTTGCTTGATATACTAGGGAAAATATTGAATTCTAGTTATTAAAAACAAAATAAATGGATTTGAAGTGGTATAAAGGAATATGAATATTATTTTCTAGAACTAATGACGTTGGTTGATGGTTAATGTCAACAAAATACAAAATAGTTGTTATATTATATTAATCCACTTGTATTATAATTTAGGTATATTTTGTTTAATAACATTTTTATTATATTGACCCATTGAAATTACTATTGTCCGTATCTTTACCTTTGCCCAGACTAAGCTTTCCTAACTACATTTTGCCAGGTGTTGATATCTAAAATGATATAAACATAAGGACGTACATTGTCGTATCTTGCCTAGTCTTCTTTCATTAGGTTTTTCTTTGTCTTCCCTCTTTACTTCTTTGGGATTTTATTCTTATTTTGGGCTACTGAACATACTCGAATCATTTTCACATGTTCTCTCTTATTTGGGTGTCTTTGTGTGTCATTTTTGACTTCATGCTTTTTTGTCACTACACACTAATACATCTGATTATAAAGTATGCATATTGCTCTTCTTTCAACAGTGCAATATTTAGCATTGTACAGCATAGTTACTCTTACAGTTGCCTTATAGTTATCATCCATCAAATTTTGCCATTTAAATAGGCCTATGACGTGATAAACTAATTTAAATTTATTGCCAGTGTTTGTTGATATGTTGTGCGTAACCATAACATACTTGAATATACAGAATGGCCCAAAAGTCTGGAAACGGCTAATTATCTCGTAAATTACTAAACATAATTATACAAAATTTGAGATACGCCTATCTTGGGATACGGAGATTCCATATTTGGTAATTGCAATGTTGCCAGATTTTCAGTTTCTCTTATATTACTAGTAACTTTGGTTTTTCAAATATATCACCCTCTATATTCAGTCATTATTGGAATCTTCTATTAAATACGAGTTCAACCATATGTAACACTTATGATTTTATGTAGTCTGGAAGGTCTTAAATACATAAAACAGAAGTCTGGCAACGCCTAAATTGTTTCAATACATTTTTTATTACTAACTATTTTCAAATACATTAAAACGTAACAATTGATAGTTTAGAATATTTTTTAACATAATAGTTACGTTATTAAGTGTTCAAAATGATTGTCTAGAAATTATTCGAGATTCATCGATAATTCATTGCCTTAGCTATGCAAAACTAGCTGGTTAAGTTTTGTAAACTGAATTTTTCAAGTATCTCTAATAAAAATAATCTTTGGGATTCAGATCGGGTGAACGTGGATGCCATTCAATTCTACCTTGTCTACCAATTTATCGTCCGGGAAATATCTCATCTAAATAACGCCGAACATTTACACCAACTATCTGACGTTAAATTTCTTTCGATAACTTAATTAAGCTTCAACAGAATCAACATGTAAATTAATTTTAATTATTGTTTTTTATACGACAGGTTGTAGCTTTAGCACTAGCATCAGCTATTTTTGCTGAGCCTGGCATACTTGGAGACATGATAAGAGGAGTACGTGGTGATGATAACGGACAAATATATACGTCTGATGGTAAAGATGGTAAGTACTATTACAAATTAAGCATTTTAGTTGTATTTTTTTTTAGTCATTGTAAATTTGGTTTGTTTGAAAAGCAGATAAAGCCAGTAACAAATAAATCGCAATAAAAAAATGCAAACAAAAAGGATATGGTCTAGGTCTGGAAATTAACACAGAAAAAAAAATAAAAATAATGACACAGACAAGAAGAAATATAGTTCCACAAAACATTTTTACATGAAGATGACATTGAAACGGTTGGAAAGTTTACATACCTGGAGTAGAAATATATGCCGACGGATCAGAAGATGGAGAAGTACGGAAGATAATTAACGCAGGCAAACAGAGCTTATTTAGCCCTCTCCCATATATTTCGGTCTAAAAAGTCCACCGAAATACAAAGATGAGAATCTATGAAACCTTAATTCGACCAATAGCATGGTATGGCAGTAAACCATGGGTCCTGAAAGAAACATCCAAAAGCAAACTCGACGCATTCGAAAGAAAAGTACTAAAGATAATACTAGGACCTGTGAGGGGAAAAAATCGTCAGAAGTTGATACAACGAGCTTTATCAACTTTATAAGAAAGTAGTACTTCATTGGAAGATTGCAATGGGCTGGACATGTGATAAGAATGGGAAATGGTAGACTACCAAAAAGAGCACTGAATGCTAGAAAAATGCAGGAACAGAGACTGGTTGGAAATTCAAGAAAGCGCTGGGAAGACACAGTAAACAGCAACGCACAAGCACTCTTTAGGCGTCCGTGTATGAAGAAAATCAGCCATAGACAAGCTAGGGTAAAGACAAAAAATAAAGTAGGCCAAGGCTCAATTTGGGCTTTGATCCTATCAATTAATGCACCATTAACTGGATATATTAAAGATGATCTTAAGATTATTGAAAGAGAAAAATGAGCTCAAGAAGACGATAAAAATAATTAAAGATATTAATACCAAGAACAAAGCCAGAATAAAAGTTTAAAATTAACTAATATCGAAAGTAGAAATCAACTGGGTAATTGTTTATGGTGATAGAGCTCGATACTTTTTAATTTTGTAATGCACAAACAAATGAAAGAAAATAAATGTACAGGATAAGAACATAAGAAGTACAAATAAAGATCCTTTGCTATGCAGACGACGCAATCTTTATCTCCGATATTGGGATAATCTACAGCGCATGGCACATACATTCAACACAGCGACGAATAACTTCAGGATGACGATAATGTAGTCGCAAGGAAATTCAGAGGATAAAAACAGTAATTGAACACGAAATAATTACACAATGTGAAAGATTGGGGTCAAAATATTTAGCTATGGAAATTGGAGGGATGTAATCTGGAGAAATAACTGAGAAATAGGACACCAAATGACCAAATAAGAGATTTTTGTAATATGCTTACTGGATCGTTATGATCCCTACGTACCCTATAAAATTTAGAAAAATTATGCACCATGGATGACTGATACTTTATGTATTATGAAAAGAGAATAGTACAAAGAATAGTACTCAGAACAAAATACTGAGTGTGTACGAAAAAATACAAAACGTGCAAACTTGGAAGGAATAGAAAACGATTAGAAATATGTTTATTTTAGCTGTGAGACTAGAAAAAACTTTCTATTCAAAAAATTGGGATTTTTGCGATTCCTTCAAAGTGATAGGTCTTGGTAGAAGTATCCAAAATAATACGCAAATATCAGAAAATTTAAGTGATATTTCTATAATGAATGGATACTTTATAAAGTTTGTTCCTTCTATGAATCCTGAATTTACACTTAACAAATTTTATAATAATAATTTTCGTGTGGACATAGATGCAAATTTTTCTTGTGTCCAAGAATGTAATATTTTAAATGTCATTAAAAATATTAAGAGTACTGCTACTGCGACATAATAAATGTGCCAGACAATATGTGTCTTCCGTTTTTATTACCTTATTTGATACATATTATTACTGTTTGCATTATAAGAACAGTGGTCTATGTTTCTGCGAAATTTTGCTCATATAATTGCTATTAATATTCTTTAATAGAATTTAAGGCAACTCTAAAAAACTTTCAATTTCGTCATATATTGAGTGAAGCCTTAAACAAATTGCTGTGTGATACCTTGGTGTTATCACACTTGGATTATTTTGATACTTTTTATAATTCGTATAATACAGAATGTGATAAATGTGATAGTTATTGTGTACAAAAAAACGCAAAATTCTTACCTGCGTTTAATACATGGTATCCGTAGAAATCAACCAATAAGAAGTTTTAAATTTAAAAAAACAGGGAGGTTAAGTATAAAACTTGGACGACATTTTTATTTACCTTGTCAATTCTGAAAAATCATTATTTTTAAAACCCCCCCATGCCTCTACAATAAAATAAAATTCCGTACTGATGTATGTACATAATATTAACAATAGACATAAAAACACTATTTCTCTACCTTATCACCGTACACAGAATTACAAACCGTTCTTTCTGTATCATATTATAGCCCATGTTAGAAATAGTATTATTATAAGAGAATCAAAATTAACAGTCAAGGACCACCAGAAAGACCCTTTAGAAGATAAAAAGGTAGTTGGTAGTCAACATTACAGCTATGAATACAATCTAAAAATTTTGTGAAGAACAAGAAAAGTATGAGGAAGAAGAAGACGGAGAAGAAATAGATAATTACAGAACAGAAAAACGTCTAAAAGTTATTCTAGATATTCTAACAATTTATCCAGAAGTCTAATCATTAAATTGATTGGTAGCATTTAGGACAACTAAAATAATTAAAAATAGACTAGTTTAAAACGATTTTCTGAGGTTTCTGGGAAAATCTAAACAAAAATATTGTTTTAGGACCAGAACCTCAAGAAAATGCAACAATATCAGAAAGCGATGATTCTGCTAAAAGCGATAATAACACGGAAGAAAATCAACCTCACTCGCTTACATATTCACTTTTTAAAGTATTTTTTGATGTTTTGGATAGAATAGTAGGTAAAAATTATTTTCTTTGTCACTTAGTTAATACTTAACTACATAAACTATTTTAATTAGTATAGACAAAAACGTAAATTTTGCGATGATAGATATTAAATTTTTTATTCCTTATAAATTCTTCAATCAAAATTGGCATCAAGTTAATATAATACCAAATTATTAAATTTCATTGCCTGGTAATTTGTGTACGTAGTTATATTTGTTTATCGTAAACTTCCCAACTGCAACGCTCATGACGGTCAGGCGTATGCATGGGAAGAAATGGGGATAAAAACCGGAAGTGTTGAACTAGGTGTACACCATGGTGATTAAACTCTCAATTACCTATGCAGCGACGATGTGGTAGACCAATATAAACAGCTGCAAAAGCCAAACTCAGCAAGGTGCAAAGACTTGCGTATATGCAGATAACTGGTATCATGCGTACTACTCCAACAGCAACTAGACCTACCTTCCTTGTATTTGATAATACAAGAAGAAGGAAGATTGAAAACTTATAGGGTTCCAACAGGAGTTCATACAGGGCGTTTATTCCAGAGAAGAATATATGAAGAAACAAGCAGTACCACAACCAACAGGGTAAGATCTTATACACAGATGTATCCAAAACTATAGAAGGTATGGATAGGAAGCAGAATAGAAGGTAGGAATATACTAAAATGAGAGATAGCATAAGATTTGCTTTGAGAAGGAATTGTACCATTTTACAAGCAAAAATTTATGCGAAATTGTAATTTACAAAAGGAAATAATGAGAGAGCCCTTAAAAAGAACAGATTCATATATTATCTGGCACTCAAGTGGCGCTAAAAGCAATGGCGGCATGTCAGAAAATCACATCCAGGCTAGAGTGGGACTGAAATAAAAAATCAAATGAACTAAGATACCAGAAGAAGTTTGACTAAGTGGATTCCAGGACATAAAGCATCGAAGGCAATGACAAAGCAGATCAACTTGCAAAAAGAGAATCGAAAGAATCAAATGGACCGGCTGTCTCTCTGGGAATACCAAAGGCTGCAGTATGTAGGGCTGGATACTGCAGACCTGTGATAAGAAACCACAAACTATAAAACATGTATATTTAGAACACACCAAACATAAGACCTGTATAATCGTCTACAGAGTACAACAATTCTAGACTGCCATATTAGTTAAGATAATGTCCAGAACATTCAAAAAGTTTTAAAAAGTATTTATCTTGTACAAATAATAAAATAATATCAGTAATTTTCTTACTGAAGAATTTGATGGTAACACTGTAACGATCACAACCAAAATTTTAAACTATTCAAGTATCCCGGATATATCGGGACCTATGACAACCTAATATGCATAAATTTTCTTATTAACTATAAAATTAGTTACTAACGAGTTTTTTGTTGTTAATTGGGTTATTCGCCAATATCGCTAATTAATATAACTCCAGATTAAAGTTGAAGGCATCGAACAGAGCTACAAAGCTGCAAAAATATCCAAATTGAAAAAATTGCCATAAATAAAAAAAATAAAAAAATGTATGCCCAATTATAATTGATAGCGATAATTACTTGATCTTCAACAGGTGATTTACTCTGAAGAACCTGTACTGGGGATAATAAATCGTCCTTAACAGAATAAGTGACATCTTCAGGAGATTATATAGGTTGACATAAGTCTTTGAATGCTTGTTGTTGGGCTTTATCTAATAATTTTTTTTTTCTGTAGAATCAGGGAACTGTGATACTTCTTGTATTGGAGATTGAGGTTCAGATAAATCACAAACAGAAGATAGTTGCTCACTTACAGGATATTCAAGTTTAAAGTGTTCTGGTATTGGTTCGGGAGTAATGGACAAATCAATTTTTTCTGATTTACTGAAATCGGAAGATTTCGCTTTGACAGATAGTAGTGGCGAAACCGGTTTTGGTTCAGGATCAGCAACATACGAACTATAACATTTGGGAGATTTAGCTTCCTCCAAACCTTGATACATTTCTTGTGGAAGTCTACAAACAAGTTTAGGAGATGGGGGCAACAAATTAG